TCTGTAAAACACTTTACATGACAGTCATTTAAAAATCATTGAAATTACTTAAGTTTAAGAGATCGTTCAGCTTTTTAGGAACTCCTGAATCTACAAACTCAAACATCATATTACCAACTGTGACACTGACCAAGTCTCAATTCACAAATAACTCCAAAAGATTCTCCTGAGCGCCTGTGTTACGTTTCCATAAAGACAAAGATGCAAATCAATGTTACAACTGCACAAAACAAAAGACTTTCCAAAGGATACAAGTAACTCCTACTGAAGAAGGCACAAACTGCTCTTGATGCTCGTTCGTGTCCCGTCAGCTTCCAAACGAGGAGGAAAGAAATGGTTTTTTTTTAAATTAGTTATTTTTTTATTAATGTTGCTGCTTGTTGGTGGCAATATTAAAACACCATCAAGCAGCCAAGTTGTGGCGAAAGCGTGAAATGGTTATGAAAACTTCTATGATTAAAAACTGGCTCAGCCATGAAACGTTCCGATAAATCCTTCGTTTCTGGAAGTGAAATGTCTAAAATTTACCTCTCACCTTTACAGACGCCTACATTTCAGTTTGCATGTACAACAACAATGTTTGACAGTCTGCTGTATGTTTTTTTTTTGTTTTTTTTTTAAAATAAACTCTTAAGAGTCAGTGAAAAACCGAGTCTTCAGACACCAAAACCACTTTACCATAAAGTAAATGTCTATGCCGACAATCACAGCAGCTCTAATCTGACAGCTCGATTTCATCCTCTAAGCCTGAAACAGTCAAATTAACAGCTGCATTAATAAATTCAGCAACACTGGAAACAATTCCAAAGGCTACCTGTTAGTTTGTCCAGATTTGTGGTTTTTCCACTGTTCAAATGGTTAATTTGCAGCTTTGCCATTTTAATGAATAAACTATCAGGAAAGATGATACAGTTCTGCTGACTTAACAAAAACTGCCTTTTAGAGAAGACACGTGGTTCAAGTCAGATTATGTAGGAAATGTTGCTCACAAAAAGGCAGTTTGTACATTCATGATTCTCTTCCAGAGAGTAGACCAGCTCTGTGCACTCATGTTTAAACACTAATGATCAGGGAGTTTCTTTCGTGAAAGTATCAACAAATGTCATCAAAATATGCATAAGATTTGTTCCACAAACTCAAAGGAACTGCCAACCTTGGTACAAAAACCTGCTCCTCTATCTTAAAGGTTGAAGAGTGCATTCTCCGCCCGCTGCACCCACGTGTTGTTTAAAGTTTTGGGCAGCCAATCAGAAGCTACGTAGAGCTAAAGGAGTGAAGCAGCTAATTTCAGACAGAATGAACTGAGAGCAGGCGTCAAGCTCCCTGTATGGGTTCATTATTTTAAGTTCACTCATGCTAAGCTACTGTCTGAAGAAAAAATAATAATAATAATAATAATTATCAGCAGAAACAATCAACTTTCAAAAGAGACGAATTCACTGAAGTTTATTTTCAAATGGGGTTTGTTACCTATAAGAAAACTTCAGATCTGACATTAACAGATAACACCGCAGGTTGAAACAGGCCGGAGTAATCCTTTAACAGACGCACTGTAAAGCTGTCCTGGAACCTAGATGTGCAGTGGTTCTGAAGGAGTGCAATAAATATTTTCAACCAGAATCCAGGCAAGGTTTCACCTGCTTCCCCCTTGAAAACTACTTCAACTTCACTAAAATTCCTTTAATGGCAAAAAGCAATTAAACAAATGTTTTTCCTGCATACGTGGACCAAATCCCCCCCAACCACACAAAACTCAAAAATACGCAAGAGTGCAAAAAACTCTGTGAATACACCTCCACGAAATGAAACAGGAAGAAGCCCTTCTTGTCCACAGACAACACCAGTAGTAGATGACATAAGGGAAAGATTGAGATCATCATTGCACCTCAGTGGATTAGAGTCCGTGGGGGACAGTGTCTCTCTTTTGGTCCCCAAACCACGAGTCCCAGGTCAGCTGGGTTTGCAAGGTGCAGCCTCCGGCCTTGAGGTCGCACGAGTACCCGGCAGGACAGCAGTGCTTCGAGCCAAAGCAGCAGACGGCCTGAGAACAGAGAGCGTGTTCAGCACTGAATCAATCGGCAAGGCTCAAACTTGTTTTATTCTAAACAAACATATGAGCTGAATGAATTCAGCAACAATAAAAGTCGATTATCAAAGATGAGTAGTAGCACAGCAACATATAGGACACCTGCTAAGTTTTAACTTTCCAAAACCGAGCCTAGAACAAGGACCATCCAAAGTCACTGCTGGAAGAATGACTTCAAATGTAAATGAGTGGGAGGGACTGACAGGTGAACGTACCCTGGGGGAGGGGCAGCAGCTCCACTCCGTGGCGGAGATCTTACAGCAGGTGTCTCGTTTGGAGCAGCGAAACTCGCCCCTGCCATCACACGCCACATCCTCCTCCTTCACAGACTGCAGCACTTCGATCTGAGGGATGGTGCTGAGGTGGTGGTAGTGTTGTTTCTTCTCGCAGGTTCCTGTCTGCATGTTGCAGGTGTAGCCCTGAGGGCAGCAGTGCTCGTGGTCAGTGCAGCAAACAGCCTGAGCAGAGACCACGATGCCAGATATTAACATACAGCCACGAGTGAAGCATTTCAGTGAATCCTATTAAGCTTTTCCTTATATACTATTGAACACTCCAAAAATATGGTCTAAATGGTAAATTTCCTGCTGTAAGCACCAAATTTGTTTAAACAGGAAATAAAGCAGGTTTTAAATCACTTTTGAAACTGCTGTCTGATTCGTTTTAGTCTGTTGTGAAACTGAATGATATTCTACATCAGCAAGACACTGCAGAAATGTCACAGATCAGTTTGTGAGCTTATCAAATGAGCACCTTTGTGGAAAAACTCGAGGATTTAATGATAGTCTGAACACTGATGCACAAACCTTGAACAGCGGGCAGCAGCCCCACTTTCCGGTCTTCAGCTTACAGCAGGTCGTCCCTGAAGCGCAGCTGCTCTTGTTGTCACATTTAACGTCGATCACGGCGCCCGGCTCCGTTACAGCGCTCACTTTGGTGAACCACGGTATAACATGGGAACCTTTGGAGCAGGAGAAGTGGTGGGGCTCACAGGTGTGTCCGCTGGGGCAGCAGTGGTTTCCATCTTTGCAGCAGACAGCCTGACGGGCAACACGGGTAACTGACACTCTCCCATTTAAAAAGAACTAATAATTTAAAAAGCGAGGGGTTAAACTCACGTTCGGCACAGGGCAGCAGCCCCATTTGTGTTCCTTTTCCATGAAGCAGCAGGTCGTGTCTCTGGGACAGCTGGTCTGGGCGTCGCACATGTTCTGAGTCGGATGGGAAACAGTCCGGCCGAGCTCCTCCTGCAGGGCTGGGATCTTCTGCAGCCAGGCCACACTGAGGCCACCGGGTTTGTCACAGGTGCCCTCTGCCACATTGCACTTGTAGCCTTTGGGGCAGCAGTGCTCGTGATCGTTGCAGCACACAGCCTGGAACGAAACAAGGAACGAGTTCTACATCACAGGCTGCTCTTCTGTTGATGAAATAGCTGAAAAGTTATCCTCATTTTATTTGACACCATGTGATCCACCAGTCAGCTTCAAAACGCCAACATTGTCTACTATTAAGAGTTCTGTTGTTAAACCACTGGTTGCAGGTGTAAATCTCAGTGTTTCCTGTTATATCTTCCCAAAAGAGAAGGAGTATTTTGGATGATTTAACACATCTATACATTTAAATTCAGACTTTTGAATTTCAATCAGTTTGTCTTTGCCTCTGAAAAATCCACTCAGGTATAACTAGCTGTCTCAAAGTAGAAGTACAGAAAATCTCTACAGTCACATGAGGGAGAACAGGGTTGATTACTGAAACCGTGTGCAATGAAGTCACTGAAACAGCCACTTTAAGGACGGGCCCCGGCCTGATCACCCAGTCAGCTGCCATGTGACTGAAACAGCAATAAGATCAAGTTAGTCTGATACCGGTCTGTGACTGAATAGGGGTCATGTAGACCAGCGGCCCCCCCAACCTTTTTTGCGCCACAGACCGGTTTATTCCCGACAATATTTTCATGGACTGGTATTTATCCGCGACACCTTAAAGGCAACAAAATAAAACTAGTAGGTACCGAAAAAAAATAAAATTTATTCATAACACACGTGAAAAGACCAAGGAAAACCGAGTAAACGATAACCAACGCTGTAAACCAATAAAAACTATTTCACACCTGAGCCTCAACTCTCGCGGCCTGGTACCAAACGACTCACGGACCGGTACGAGGCCCGGAGGTTGGGGACCGCTGATGTAAACAACTGCACTCAGAAGAGAAAAAAAAAACCTTTAAAAACAAAGTTGCTGCAGGATGGAAACTTAACTGCAACGTTACAATGTAGCACTTGGCAACATTCCATTTTTATGGATTAACAACAATACAACTGGCTGTTAACCAGTTAAGTTAATTCCTGTGAAGAAACAAAGATGAGATGTGGTCAGCCGGTGTAGTCATCTTATGGCCGGGTTGTCGTCCAAAGGTTGAGCATTTTTCAGGCTGGTCAACACATCTAATTGCCAACAGTTACAGACCAAATAAAAATTCAATACATATTCAAATGAAGTTTCCCCGTTCCATTTTGTGTTTAAACGAGTGTGAACGAGACATTACTGAAATGCACTCAGAGCCGCAGCTGACTTCTTATTTTCCATCCTCAGACTTGGGTTTGATTGACAGTTTCTAACCATCTCACGTCTTAAGCTGGACTGTAATCACTGTTCACATTGGCTCTAGGATTACCTGGGGACCTCTAATTAATTTAATTCAGGATTAGGAGGGGCGTGCAAGTGTCTAAATCACATAAGGTCCCCTGGTACTACTAATCCTGTGCAAATAGGGCTTAACAGATGAGTGTGAACTTTCAAGACCTGGAAGCTGGAATCTACTACTACTACTACTACTACTACTACTACTACACTTCCTGAAATACTGGTCAAATCATCTACTACGACAGTAAACA